TGACTTTAATTTATTTCATAAAAACGGCACTTTTATAGGTAAATACCTAATATCAGTACTATGTATTTAGTAATCTGGTATATTAGTAGTATATGTTATGATATGTACCATTTCATCACCATCATCATCAATACAGTCTTTCACAAGTCCACTGCTGAACATAGGCCTCCCACAAAGAATGCCACAAAGCGCGGTCCTGAGCCACCTGCATCCATCGACTTCCTGCATGTCTTACTAGGTCATTACTGCACCTAGTGGGGGGCCGCCCTACACTTCGCTCACCGATATGAGGCTGCCACTCTAGAACCTTGCTTCCCCATCAGTTGTTCGTTCTTCGAGCTATATGGCCGGCCCATTGCCACTTCAGTTTACTAATCTGTTGGACTATATCGGTTATTCTGGCTCTACTGCGGATAACCGCATTTCTAAGGTTATCGCGCAGAGAAACCCTTTGAAACTTGCTGAGCTTCCTCATACGGCCAGCAGTGAAGGAAGGTATCATTTAAATGATACAAATGACAATTTTAGTTTTTCATTTGCATGTCGGACTTTTGCCATTTAAGTTATTTAACAACTCGACTCCTACCATATATAGATACAAAACAATTACTGTATCACAGTTGCGGGTCGAGGCGCTTGCGCCGCCGACTGGGCTGTCACGCTAAAAATATGCCACGCAGTTATATTTTCATTTACGACAGTTACTGTTTTTAGGCACATTAGTACATACTTATCTGAAATAAACTGAAAAATTGCTAACATAATTAATGACAATATTTTTTCATTCACAATAAACAAAATTATTGTTAGATCGTCGTAAGCAACGTTCGCAATTTATGAAACAGAACTAGTCTTCTCGCTCACTCGCAGTCGACTTCCTTATATATTACTATACTATTTGCAGTCGACTAAAGGAGTTACGTAGAATTGACCGTAGCTTTTTTTTATAGGATAAGGGTGATAAACGAGCACACAGTCCACCTGATGGTAAGTGGTTGCTGCGGCCCATAGACATCTACATCTATCCTCTGTTACAAATCAAAATGTAGATGCGTTGTCACCCGTGAGGACTGAGATGGAATGCCTCATTTCCAGTAAAAAGGGCCTCCGGCCACCTGCACTCACCAAGCGAAACGCAGAGGTAAACCTCTACTTCACGCTGGTTTTCTGTGAGTTCGTGGTACTACCCCGGTTCGAGCCGGCCCATCCGTGCGACAGCAAAAGCTGCCGTGTGGCTCTACCACTATGAGCTTTGTGCGCAATGATTAATTCCGGTGAGGCAGACTTATTTTTTATATTATGTATATAAATATACGCATTAGCGTGTGGTCACGATATTAGATCCACTACCCCATATCATCCTGTGGGTATCATAAGAAGCGACAGAGGGAAACAAACCAGGAGATGGGCTGTAGCGTCTTTCTAATAACAATCAAAAAATAAAAACTGTGGTTACCAACCCATTTGATAAGCGTGAGAACTATGGGCAAACATCCTCCTAATTAGCTTATATTCAGCAGATGATGAAAGAATTAATTAAAAACAAATTTACATGGTTTCGGCAGCTGCACCTCAATCTACTATCCCTGATATTACTAGATGGTTGCTTTTATGGATAGATAGCTAAAAAATCCAAAGGGGGAAAAACGACAAACGGCTTCATCATCATCATCATTACAGCCCTTCACAATTTCACTGCTGAAGATAGGCCTCCCCCAAGGAATGCCACAAAGCACGGTCCTTAACCACCTGCATCCATCGACTTCCTGCATGTCTCCTCATTCGCAACAGAACTCATAGTTTTTTTATTATTATTCAGACTTTACTATACCTAGTTCCTAGTACCAGTACATGATGAAACGCCTGTAAATATGATTTAGCTAGACTCGGATACAGTATGTCAAACACGAGGCGAATCAGAACACAACTGCTCCTGAATATTGACGAACTAATTCAAGACTCGTAAAAAAGAATATGACCTTTCACGAAAGGGTGATTCACGAAAAAAGGACGTCTGGTGTACTATACTTTAAAACTACGAGTAAAGTAACAGGCTACATAAATCCCACTGATAAGCATCTGGTGTAAATCTCCTCTCATTCCTGAGAGGATTTTTATAGCAGGAAAGTGTTCATCGAGAAATCCTTATCTATATGTGCTTTCAGATTTGACATGTCCCTAAAACATTTTTGATTTCTAATCTTTATGAGTCTGAGTCCAAGATATTATGCAGGTTTCCTCTAACATACAGAGTGCCCTCTGTATATTAGATAGTCGGAGGAGATCGGACTCAGTTTACGAATCTTTTGATATAAAAATACATCAAGTTAGCGCAAAAACTGTCTCGATATTTTTTTTCAAAAGAATGAATCATACTTATAATTACGCATGCCGAGCATGTCAAGGTCATCGGTGACGCGAACCCATACGTTTTTCTTCCCCTACCAAAAATCGTTCAACGCGGCTAAAGAAGTAATTACTTCAAAAATATGTCGTTGTATTGGAGGCAATGGTGTTGGAATTAGCGATGACGGTGATAATGCACATGAGGAATTCAATGGGGTGTAATTTAAACTAGATAAGAACTTCCCCAGATACATCATTTATTTTTTACACGGATCTCAGCCAATTAATTTTAAAATATTTAAAAAAAAACAACTTAAATATATATATATATATATATATATATATATATATATATATATATATATATAAATATGCAATAAAATCCGTAAAATATTCAGTATTTTTGATGTAGTCAGACAATATACACATAATCGCACATCTAATCTATAGTACACTCACCTCTATCACAATACCGGCTAGGTGCCCCGTTGTTTTTCGATAGTATTAAACCTGTTTTAAAAACAAAATTTGATCAGTTTTTAAACCACGTTAATAAATTGTATAAATTAAACCCCCACATTGCTCTTACTATTTTAAAATATTGTCTCCTTGTACCTAGATTTACATACTTACTCCACTCGAGTCCAGTCTGGAAATGTTCTTCTTTTTTTTATATAGAATATAAGATAAACGAGCACACAGTCCACCTGATGGTAAGTGGTGGCTGTGGCCCTTAGACATCTACATCTATCTTCGTTTTTGAATTAAAATGCAGAGGCGTTGTCAGTAAAAAGGGTCTGCGGTTCTCTACACTCACTATACGAAACACAGCAACATTAACCTTTTTAATACTGGTATAAGGGCGTGCTTCGGTGGTTTGGGCACGTTGAGCGAATGAGTGAAGACCGAATAGTGAAGAAAATATATAGCGCGAAAGTTAATATTAAAAGGTGTCGAGGTAGATCGAGACTAACTTTCGAAGACCATGTGAGCAAATTGCTCGAAGAGGGTAGGGTCAAGAGTACTCGGATACCTAGACGTGCATGCATGAAGAAGATAATGAATCTGAAAGTAGCGAAAGAGGTTTGTAAGGATCCTGACACTTGGCGATCTGTTCTCTCTGGCTACCCCGTCAGGGATTGTGCGTGAAGATAAGTAATACTGGTATTCTGTAAGAGTGTGGTCCTTCGTCGGTTGAGCCGACCCATTCAAGCTTCAACTACAGCTATACCAGTAATATAACTGCATAATTAGTAATATACTTTACATGTTCACATACTGCAGACTTCCCGGTACGTCGGTGTTTCAAATCAGCTATATGTTGAAGCTGATTGATGAAGATAATTGCTTGAAGCACCGATGTTCCGGGAAGTCTGCAGTGTGTGAACATGTTCAAGATCGTCCCTGCCATTACATTAGATTTGATAGACGCAAAAGAACACTGATTCCTACCAAGGATGATTCGTAAGGCTATTGAAATTAAAAAACATCCTAATTTCAATAAAGAAGATGGATGGCTGCTGCCATCTGCTTGGGATCCTATAATTAATAAAATTAAATCCAAATCCAAGCATACCACTGCAAGACTTCAAGATACTCTGAGCTCATTCTGCGTAGATCGGAACAAAAATTTATATTCAAAAACTGAAGGTAGCCGGGTTAACTATGACATCGGGACGTCAAACACCTCAAGCCCCCCGTGACCATGGGTGCTGTAAAGCACCCGAAATGTCGGGAATTAAAAAGTTAAATTAAACACGATAAAATTCGTAAAAATTAGTTTCATTTAATATGTAGTCTTCGCGTAAATACAAGAAATCATTATGGCCCGGTTCTGGCAAATCTGTAAACTATATAATACAATTTGTCATTTAAAATTGTCTTAATTACCTATACAACCAGTAATGCTATTAATAAGTTATTTTACTAGAGGCGTAAGAGAAACCCACTACTCCATAATATTACCATCCCGTGGGTGTTATAAGAGGCGACAGGTTGTCCTGAAACAGGAAATCGGCAGCAGCATCTTCCTGATAACTACATAATATAAAACTGTTGTTACCAACTCAAGCGTGGCAACTAAGTCAAATATGCTCGATATGAGGCAATCAATATGGCTTTATCTTCAACAGATGTGATGAAGAGAAATGGTCAATAATGAATGAAGAAATTATCAATAATAATTAATTTCAATATTTTTTTAAAACTTTTTTTAATATAAACAAATGAGGGCTAATATTCTTATAATATCTTCCGCTCACCAGATGTCGCTAGTTGACACTGGGGTGAAGTTTTTTGTTACACACAATGTCACTTAATTGAGAAGTTAGTTTTAAATAATAGTTTATCAGTTTCTAGAGTATTAAATTAATACACAAATAACACATCAGTGGTAAGTTCTTTAATTTCTTGCACATTTTTAACTCTTTTTTTAATTGTTCTACTTTTATAAATATCTGTGGTTTGGATTATTTATTTTTAATCTAATTAATACAAAATATAACTATACTAAATAGTACAGAAAGAAACATTAATATTTACATTTTCCGGACAAATTAACTTCCCCGATATGAAATCTGTCAAACATTACACCTCATTTTTAAGTGGCGTCGCCCTGGTTGCAGAAAAAGTCGTAGATACCCTCATTAGCGTTGTTATTGCAAAGGTTTTAGATATTCAGTCTCCTTTGGTATAACCTCCTTACTTTTGAAATAATATTCTATTTCCTGGAGCGTTTTGTCTTTAGTCTCTGGTAGAAATATATACAACAAAACAGTGAAAAAACCAGAGGCGATCCCATAAAACAAAAAGGTGCCATGTGTACCAAATGTTTTAAATATCAAAGGAGCAATCTTAAGAAAGGATGTGCTATATATTTCGCTCATTAGAGCAGTTATAAGGTAACAGGCTGTTTTAAATCTCAGTGGTATTATTTCGCCGTATAGCGACGTAGTCATTATCATTGGACCACAACTAATGGGTACGGAGAATGATATTAATAATAAAATCGAAACTATATTATTCTCTCCTATAATAGATAATTTGATTAAATAAAGATATAAGGCAATGATAAAAAGAAAAGTGATGCCCACAGTTGAAGACCCTAAGAATAATGTACGCCTTTTAAGTATCTTCGATAGGAAGCAACCCACGTACATCCCTAAAACAGTAACTCCGTCAAGAATCAACATTCCCGTATAAGCGGTTGATTCACTTTTGGTGATTCTTTTTATTATATCAATTACGTACATACTGCAAACGTATTTTCCCGATAGGTGATATTGACTCACCATGAGAATGGACAATAGAATAGGTTTGTAGAACTGTTTACATGTAATCGTGTGCAAAATACTAGAAAATGTCCAGTTCCGTTTTCGGGAGTCACAACTCTTAAGGTATTCGGTTTGTGAAGCGATCAAAGTTTCTACTTCGAGTATTGAATTCTCATTGGAGCCATGCAACCAGCGGTGTGCTTTTCTACATTCTTCAAAACGCCCTTTATCGGCCAGCCAGTACGGCGATTCCGGCCAGAAGACGCTGATCATAGTATAACCAGCGCATACCATTCCAAATAAAGGAATGCATTTCCAATGGAAAAACGTGCCTATTGCATTCGATATCCATATACCCCAGAAGAAAGTAGCTGATTTTATTGTAAGGAATATTCCTCGATATTTCGGTGAAGTGTACTCTGATATAATAACCACTGCGAGTGTGACGTTTGTAGCGTGGTTCATTCCTTGTAATATTTCACTCATGAGTATCTGCATAGGCGTGTAACTGTAATACATGGCAATTAAGGCTGCGAAAATATTCACACATGCTATTATAAAAGGTATCTTTCGTCCCAGTTTAGTGATGGTGAGCGGTATTATAAACACCCATGGTATCGCCGAGAAGCCGAATACTGAACCTGAAAACGGAAAACGTTGTTAATGACAAAATTATAAAAGAGTAGAATATCTTTAGTTCATTTAAAATTTTAAGTTTTACAAAATATATACCTATGTATATATGTCGTCAGCAGATTGTATGATTCGTCGATATACAAACGGCGTCGTCTATTTGCAAACGCTCGCTGATTTGTGTAATGCCAAAGGCAAATTGTAAAATGCCTCGTCAGTCAAGAGAAAGACGTGATCTCTGCAAATTACATTACACACTACTATCTAAGTCACTGAAACTTAACTACTTGTATTAAAAATACAAATGCACATTAAGTATGGTAAAAATAAATTTGCAGTAGATCCGCGTAATGAAATGACGTGTCTTACTTAGTTTAAGAGCACCTCCATCATTCATCATCATTACAGCCCTTCACAAGTCCACTGCTGAACATAGGCCTCCCCCAAAGAATGCCACAAAACACGGTCCTGAGCCACCTGCATCCATCGACTTCCTGCATGTCTTACCAGGTCGTCACTCCATCTCGTGGGGGGACGCCCTACACTTCGCCTACCGGTACGAGGCTGCCACTCGAGAACCTTTCTTCCCCATCGGTTGTCGGTTCTTCGAGCTATATGGCCGGCCCACTGCCACTTCAGCTTACTAATCCGTTGGGCTATGTCGGTCACTCTGGTTCTACTGCGGATATCCTCATTCCTAAGTTTATCACGCAGAGAAACTCCGAGCATAGCCCTCTCCATAGCTCGCTGAGCGACCTTGATCTTCCTCATACGGCCAGCAGTGAAGGACCACGTCTCAGTTCCGTAAGTCATCACTGGCAACACGCACTGGTTGTACAATTTCGTTTTAAGGTTTTGAGGTATGTCTGACGAGAAGATGTGTCGTAGCTTCCCGAACGCTGCCCAGCCGAGTTGAATCCGTCGATTGACCTCTCGGTCGAAGTTGGACTTACCCAGTCGGACTATTTGTCCCAGGTAAACATACTCGTCAACAACTTCGAGCTTAGTGTTCCCAACAACTACCGGCATAGGTGTGACATGGACATTAAACATGATCTTAGTTTTGTCCATGTTCATCTTAAGACCTATCCGTTGGGAAACACTATTGAGGTCATTGAGCATAGTGCTTAGGTCCTCCAGCGATTCTGCCATAAGGACTATATCGTCGGCAAATCGAAGGTGAGTGATGTACTCGCCATTGATGTTGATACCGTATCCTTTCCAGTCCAGAAGCTTGAAAACGTCTTCCAATGCAGCGGTGAAGAGTTTCGGGGATATGACGTCACCCTGTCTTACACCTCTCTGCAATTGGATAGGTTTCGTACTCTGGTTCTGTACTCGGATAGCCATCGTAGCCCTACTGTACAAGCACTTCAACACTTCGATATACCGACAGTCAACTTGGCACCGCTGAAGGGACTGCAGCACCGCCCAAATTTCGACGGAATCAAAGGCTTTCTCATAGTCCACATACGCCAGACATAGTGGCAAATTGTACTCTTCGGACTTCTGTACAACTTGCCGAAGGGTATGTATGTGATCTATGGTGCTAAAGCCCTTTCGGAAACCGGCTTGTTCGGGAGGCTGGAAGTCGTCAAGTCTGCGCGCGAGACGATTCGTAATGACTCTCGAAAACAGCACGTAGACGCGGCTCAGAAGGGAAATCGGTCTGTAGTTCTTCAAGAGAGCGTTGTCACCTTTCTTGAAGAACAAGACCACCGCACTTCTGCTCCACGCCTCCGGTGTAATGCCACCATGGAGGACGGAATTAAAGAGCTTCTGAAGGACTTCAAGTACCGGTCTTCCACCCGCTTTCAGAAGCTCCGCTGTAATTCCATCCTCGCCTGGGGCCTTACCGTTTTTAAGGTGCTGGAGAGCCATCCTAATCTCGCTCAGACTGACATCCGGGATATCTTCGGAATAGTGTCGGATGAGACTCGCTCTTGGATCGTTACTCACACTTGCGTGTGGCTCCAACGATGATGTGTACAGCTGCCCATAGAACCTCTCAATCTCACTCAAAATCTCAGGTGTCCCGGAAACGATGCTGCCACACTCTGTCTTCAGCTTTGACAGTTGGCTCTTTCTGGCAGACAGATCTCTGGCAAAGACTTTGGAGCCTTGGTTCCGCTCGATCGCTTCTTCAATACGAGCTGTATTGAAGTTGCGTAAGTCCCGCCGCATGCACTTGGAGATCTGTCTGTTCAGATGCCTGTATGCTGTCAAGTCTGTTGAAGAATGTAGCTTCATCTCCCGTCTAACAGCCATGAGATTAAGAGTGTGATCGGAGAGTTTTTGTGTTCTTCTGCGGCGGGTCTTGCAGAACTTAGCTCCAACCGCATGGACAGTTTCCACGAGCTTGTCATTCATATCGTCCACTTCATTGCAGTCTTCCAGGCACTGAAAACGGTTTTGTAACTCGAGCTGAAAGGTTTCGGGACTTTGGAACAGAGCACGAGGGGGACGGAGCGTTGACTTCATTAGACGAGACCTCTCCAACTTAACGTTTAGGTTCAGTGTGCCTCTAACCATTCGGTGATCGCTACCAGTTTTCACCCTCGCGATCACGGAGACATCACTGAACAGTTGTCGTCTGGTCGTCATAATGAAGTCAATCTCATTTTTTGTGGAACCGTCGGGGCTCGACCAGGTCCACTTCCTGTGGGGCCGCTTCTGGAAGAAAGAGTTCATCATAAAGAGTCCCTCTTTCTCCATGAAGTCGGCCAGCTGCTGGCCCCTTGGGTTCCGTTGCCCTATTCCAAATTTCCCTACTTTCAGCTCACCGTTCTCTCTTGTGCCTAGTTTTGCATTGAAGCCTCCCATTAACACCGTATATTGGGTTTTGGAGGAATGCATGGCTCTAGAGATATCCTCATACATTTCCTCCACCTCCTCATCGGGGTGTGCCGAGGTTGGTGCGTAAACCTGTATGACCTTCAGCGAATACCGTTTGGTGATTCTGAGTATAAGGTACGCAACCCTCGTCGACACACTCCCGATTTTTACAACGTTGTTAACGAGAGACTTGTGGACGATAAATCCGACACCTCCTTGGGACAGATGGTCGCCCTCCCGGTGATAGAGCAAGTTGCCGGATTCGAGGATTACCGTGTCCTCCCCCTCTCTTCGGACTTCGGATAATCCTATAATATGCCAGCGCAACTTGTCTATCTCTTCTTCCAGCTCCACGATCTTCTCGTCAGTCCTCAGGGTGCGTGCGTTGTACGTTGCCAGGTCGAGTCGTCTAAGGTGGCAACCGAACCTCCACCGGAGATTCTTAGCACCCCCTGCCCCGCCGTTACCATGGTCGCCACCGTAGCCAGGAATAGCGGGGCCGCCGGGGACTGGGGGCCGTTTTTTTGTTGCTCTCATCATTGGGGGGTATTTGCCATAGTTGCCACGCTTGGCGAGCGGGTTGGCAACCGCAGTTTTTTTATTGTAATTTGGCTATTATCAGGAAGATGCTGCTGCCCATCTCCTGGCTGTTTCCCTTTGTCGCCTTTTACGACACCCACGGGAGGATATGGGGTAGTGGATATTCTTGACCGCCACTACACGGCAAAGAGCACCTCCACTCACCTTCAATTGCCTACTCCGTCACAACTAATCCCAGCACCTCTACTCCCAACACCACTACCCTAGGAAAGACACACCACCGTCGATAATATGACACGTCTTTCGTCTCTAAAGGATGCATCCTCAGGTGAAGTAGACTACACCGTGGCTGACCGCTAACTTTATTTATTTTTACGCGAATCTTAATTCATTTTTAACATCTATTTAAATAAAATAATAGAGGTTTGCAGTTGTGCGCATTTCGAATAGGTTTTCTAAGTTTTAATTCTCAGACACTTGGCCCTTATTATTATATTGCGATATGTACATTTGATATAAGGTTATTAAAGTTTTAAGAAACAACGATTTTTGTACGGAGTTTTTCACACGGTCTACTGTACGTCGCTTGCTCTCGCGTTACTAACGCAGATAATTCATATATTTTAGTTACAAACGGAGCAACGAATAACATTAGTTACAATGAAATTTTGTCTTTTTGATGTTTTTTTTTCCATTGCACATACGAAAACTTTGTTAATATATCAAGCAACGTGTTTATCAGCTAGTCTTTAATATAAATAATTCCCACAAAGTAACGGCTGATTCACTGATTCTGTTAATTAACAAATGCACATATCAAGTTAAATTACAGCGTCAGTAAGATATGGTGCGGTATATATTATTTCGTGTGTTATATAAATGTCCGAGACTTTGCGGCTGATGTGGCCAGTTAGCCACCGCCCACCTCAACCTATTGGTACATGAATAAAACAGTATCAACCATCATGATTGATATAACATATTACTATTGGCGAAATTAATAAAATTAAAAGCATCATCAATTTGTCTTCGGCATTTAATAAACTAGCGACCGTATGCAAATATACTATGTATAATTGGTATAATGACGTATCACACAATTTGCTGCCGACGATATAATAAATAGATTATAAGGTTAACTATTGCAAAATCTTTAGACCTCAAGGTCGAGGTCGAAAGATTTTGCTTCTTGAAAACATATTTATTTTTAAAAGTAATATTGCATTCAAATATTAAAAAAGCGTCAACTTGGAATTGAATGGAATCAAACTATAAGCCTACCTGAGTCTAGGAGGATCTATATCTTTTTAATAATATAAGAGTAACAAACGAGCTAAGTAAAAGTCCATTTAATAGTTAATGGCTACTGCATTCTATGGCCATCTGCAGTTAATTTAAAACAAAGAAGTCCACAGATACGTTATCACAGCTAAGAACTAAGATAGGTTTTATTTTTTTGAACTTTCAAACTGGAATTGTTTCGTGGCCGTAGTACCTCCTGACATGGACACTTTAACTAGAAATGCCCTACTACTTTAAAAAGTGCATTAATTAGAACCACATAGTCCACTGACACAAGTATTTGCTCTATTCTATTCCATTCTTTAATTCATTAATGTCGTATATTCATATTATTTGTTATATCATAGATCTCTGATACTTAAAAACAACTGTTAAGAATTAAAATAACACTCACACAGCCAGGATCCTATTTCTTCGCCCACTGCTTCAGTGCTATTTGCTTCTCTCCTCATCTGTGGTATCAGTACGGTTGGAGTACCAAAGAAGAGCCCAGTTACAAAGTAGTGTGCCCATACTGCACTGGAAACTAGTAACTGAAAAATAGCATAATCCACACTAAAAGAAGCATCGTAATATAATTTACGAGTATAGTTGTAGCCCAGTTACTGAGCTATGCAATAGCCCATAGAATGAAAAAGAAAATGAAAATGGAATATATTTCATATCCTGCCAGTCTTAACGGGGGTTAGCCATCTTTTTTTTCTTTTTTTTATAAGATAAAGGGTAAGAAACGAGCACACAGTCAGACTGATGGTAAGTGGTTGCTGTGGCTCATAGACATCTATCCTCAACTACGAATCAAAATGCAGATGCGTTGTCACCCGTAAGGACTAAGATGGAATGCCTCGTTTCCAGTAAATAGGGTGGGTCTCCGGTTCTCTACACTCAACATATGAAACACAGCAGCATTGAGATGCTATTTTACGCTGGTATTCTGTGAGAGCGTGCTCCTTTCCCAGTCGAGCCAACCCATTCGTGCTACAACTATACTACTAATATAGCTGCAGTTTGGCTCTACTCATACCACGTATAAAACCATCTGTGCTAGACATGAGTATAGTAACAAGTTTGTATGCAAGCACAGGTGCTCTCTACTCCCTCTAATAGTCCGATGGGACGGCTATCCGACACAACAAAGCTTTCCAAGACACGAAAGTGCAACACCACCAAAATGGCAATATTTGTAAGTCTTCGTAGGCGGGTTGACAACCGCAGGTTTTTATTATTTAAAGTTAGAACTTATACACAATTAAAAACACAAAAAAAATTAGGAATTGCTTGGTACTGGTCCCCTCATTCCCAAGGGTTATTAAAATTTATAAATTTCTTAATATTATAATAGTCTTATACAATATTTAATAAAGTTTTTGAACTTGGCGGTGGACACATTCTGTATATTTTCTTCTCTATTATCTCTCTATTTTTATTTGCATATCTTTATTTAGAGTTGTTATCAGGAAGATGCTGCTGCCCATCTCCTGTTTCAGTTTTCCTCTGTTGCCTTACACCAGCCATGGGATAACCTGGGTGGTGGAATATCTTATACCGCCACTACACTGCGATCATCAATTAAATGGTATTTAATCATTACCTTAAATGTAAATGATGCCACATTAATATGCCCCACCCAGGTTAAGACGGAGCGGATCACTAGTCTTAATCTTTTGTTTCCGTTCCTATCTGTCGCCCCTTACGACACGCAAAGAACATTAAGAGGTAGTGGATATTCCTTATACCGTCGCTACATAGCGTAAAAGTTGACCTTATTTGATTATTATTCCATATCTTTACATTTAATGTGCATGTACGTGGTAGAGCCATGCTGCAGCTATATTAGTAGTATAGTTGTAGCACGAAAGGGTCGGCTCGACCGGGAAAGGACCACGCTCGCACAGAATACCAGCGTAAAATAGCAGCTTAACACTGCTGTTTCGTATGGTAAGTGTAGAGAACCGAAGACCCTTTTTACTGGAAAAGAGGCATTCCATCTTAGTCCTCACGGGTGACAATGCATCTGCATTTTGATTCGCAAACGAGGATAAATGTAGATGTCTATGGGCCACAGCAACCACTTACCATCAGGTGGACTGTGTGCTCGTTTGTCACCCTTGTATATAAAAAAAATTAAGCGTCAACATTAATACAGCCTGCAAATTAAATTAAAATTACGTGGAGAAAAATTAACAGCGAAACCGGTAAAGACAAACATCGTAACTCAGACTACGAATTATAAATCAACCACGAACTTGTAGTTGTAGCAATTTTAGATGATAATTTTACTGTTATTCCTATCTTGACTTTAAAATCTCGATTTTTATTGACTAAAAATATGCAAATAAATAATAATATATTTAAAATTGAAACTAATTCTATCACACTTAATTTATTTATTTTGTATATTTTCGACAGAATCAAGGTGTTCAGAGTCATAAATCTTAATAAAACCTGAAGGTAACTATGTCATATTTTGTGTAGGTTTTTTCATTATAAGGCAAAAAAATAAAAGATGAAAATAACTTGTATCGATAACTTCTATTGGAACAAAACAAAATTCTAACATATTGTATAGAGTTCCCAATGTAAGGAATCTTTGTCCGATCATCGCGACTCTATACATTATAACAAATCCTCTTACTCCCATTATTCTGTCACTAACTCAAGATCGATGTTAGCTACAGCGCTTGTAAATTACCCAATATTGCTCCTTTGTTTTTTTCATTAAGGCCTTAACAGTGGTTGAAATGCCTAAATCTAGGATAATTAAGTAAAAAAATCTCAATAACTGTTCATTTAATCCACAAAGAAAAAATACAGGGTAACAGAAGAAGATTTGGTAAATGTTTTTAATTTAACAAAATTGTATTTTTGTCAACGCCTTATTAGAAAAAAAATCCCCAAAGAGTACCTATCTTTGTCATATTTTGCAAAATTTCTCCAAAACGGCACAAGCTTTTTAAATAGTTCTTACACTAAAAAAAAGGTCTTAAAAATATTAATATTTTTAATTGAGAGTTTTATTTTTATTACCCGTTTAATAAGAGAATATATCATTTTTCCCTGAAATTGAATATATTTCCGTATCTCCGTCGCCATGTAAGCTCTGTCACAGTCCGTTTTCGGACATCGTCGAGGGTGGGCCGCACGTCGGTGTTGGAGCGACTTCGTTCAAATATATAATAGTTTTTTAAAAGTTTATACTCAATTATAAATATTTTTATGACTAGAAATACTTAATTTAGTTAATATCTGTACACTGGTAACTGTAAATATTATTTTCTAAATAAATGAATTTTAAAGTGCCCAAAGAAGAAGAAATTTTTGCGGCGACGTTGATTAGTGAAATTGAAAAATGCATTTTTATATAATTTAGATGTGGAACGACGAACATGCTCTCGTTACTTAGATTGCGATAGTTTTTCATACCTATGTAATTTTATTGTTGCATATTTTTATTAATTAGTTGATAATGAATTTTATAATTATGTATTACAATAAAACGCTGTTTTTATGAGTATGACTTTATAAAATATTATTGGGGAGAGAAATAAAGATACAGATACTTACATTTAGGTACACTGTTATCAAATTAAATCAAACAATTTAAATAAATAAAAGAATGGTGCTTACCTAAGTATAAATAACTATATAAAGATATTCTTGGGTTTATGGTTTTTTTTTGTTAGACAAACTATCATCTAAAAAATGTAAAAATTTTAAATTGGAGAGGGGTTTCTCTAGGTGATAAAGTTAGAAATGAAGGAATTTGCATTAGAACCAGAGTAACTGACATAGCTAAACGGAATATTACAGTGAAATGGCAATGGGCTAGCTATATAACTTGGAAAACATATAAAAAATAGGAAGAAAGGTCCTCGAGTGGCAACCTCGTACAGGTAAGCGAATTAGTACTCAACCTTTATTCCTCTTCACGTATTCTCATACGCTTTTCTTCACACATACACACACACACACACACACACACGCACACGCGCGCAAGCACGCACGCGCGCACATACACACACACATACACACACACAAATAGGTCGCAAATAATACTTACCTAGTACTATTAGGCAAGAGTGAATAGGTTTTTGTTAAGTCAGTGCAATTCACCATCTTAGACTACATAACCACTTACCGATGGGATTGTAGTTGCTTTACTACTTGCTGGGTAAAAATAGTAAAAAAAAAATTACCCTGTGAAAGTTTGCATTTAGATATAATTTTTCTAACCAACCATAAAAATATGATGAGAATATTTATATAAGTATATAGGTTGCCTCACACGGAACAGTAATAATATAATATTATATCTTCCATTATCTCTGAAATCCGAGGTATGTTCATATTAAGAGGCTGAATAGAGCCACATTGAAATGCATGGGGATGGTTTTGTAATTTCACGTCATTATCGAAAAAAATTGTACGTATTTCAGGTGGCGGTTTGCAAAACACGATTCCACAAAAATTAACTCAATAGAAAATAATTGCAAAGTTGCTTCCAAAAATACATAAATTTTCAACGTCAATTTTTTTTTTTACGTGGTAGAGCCATGCTACAGCTATATTTATTAGGTATAGTTGTAGCACGAATGGGTCGGCTCGACCGGGGAAGGGCCACGCTCTCACGGAATAACATGTAAAATAGCAGTTTAACCCTGCTGTGTTTCGTATGGTGAGTGTAGATAACCGGAGGACCTTTTTACTGGAAACGAGGCATTACATCTTAGTCCTCACGGGTGACAACGCATCTACATTTTGATACGTAATCGAGGATAGATGTAGATGTGTATGGGCCGTAGCAACCACTTACCATCAGGTGGACTGTGTGCTCGTTCGTCACCCTTATTCTATTTAAAAAAAACTTTCTGAGATTTCAATAAAATAATGTTAAGTATTGTAAGCACTCCTACAATTATGTCTCATGTTAATAAAGCTATTGGGCTATTTTGATTTGTAATAAAGTGATTTTACTTTATAGGTTAAATAATTTATTTACCTTTCTATATCAAGAACTGTTTTTCTGTCACTCCTATTGAATTTGACAGTGCTTGCTGAAATTTAACATCTTTAGATGGATCAGAATCGCGCGCTGATCCGGCTGTTAGATATTGCAAAAATAATCGAAAATATTTATTTTTACTTTCATGCCCAAGACTACCTTGTTTTATTTTATTACGGTCAAATAATATTTATAAGGTTATAAAGCAAGTATTTCTGTAAATGTTTTGTATGTAAATGTAAATGTTTTCATTATTTTGTTATTCTATTGTTTACAGTTATTATCACGTCTTAGCTTTATACCAAGAATTACATTACAAATTCTTGATGGGATGCGATGTAACGCGCATACATTATTTTCATCAAGAACTATAATATATATATATATATATTTGTTTTTTTTTACCAATAGAGTTTTAACAAAATCTTAAAAAAGTTCAATGAATTAAAAAAAATGCCAATAATTATATAATTTCAAGTCAGTGTTTTACATTTAAAGATCAGTTATAAAAAGCCAATGTTATTATTTTCA